TAAGTCTTTCCATATATAACTTTGTATTAAGTATTAAGTCCTTTTGTATAGGAACTTTGCATTAAGTTTTGATATAATATTATAACCATGTCTATGTACCAGTACAGATCTCTCCCCTTTTACTTGATTGCCCTGTTGAATGAATGAGATGTGAATGGATAAGGTGTGAAAGGCAAGCACCTCCAAACAGCTACAAATATTACCCTCATGCATTCACATACAAGCACACTCCGCCTTGTTGTTACCAGTAGTTGCTCCCCCTAATTTCAATGGCCAGGTGAGCTGGATGAGGGAGGGGTGGAGCCTGTGGGAGACAAAAAACCCTTTTGCGCAAGATCCCTTATTCCTCAAAAAATGAGGTTTACAGGCTCTTGGTAAAGCCAGCCCTGCTCACAGCACATGCCAAGGGCCGCAATTTAAGTGTGGCTGCATATACATGCAAATATATATGCAAATATATTCAAACAGCTTTGTTCACACTGACGGGCATGAATACAAAGATTAAGGCAAGACTACACAACACACAGGCCCCATTTAAGTCAGTTCTGTTGATATTAATCAAATGCAATATTTACCAAATTTTCACCCATATGACAGCACTTTTAATGAGCAATGACAGTCCAGGACTTTAACTACTAAAACCCATATCAACAGAAGACCATTCTATTGACTCCTTTTTTGTTTTGGCTCCCACCCACGGGCCGCATGTTGAGCCTGTGTAAACTCAAACCACACCACGGGCCGCAAACAAATGGGCCGCGGGCCGCATGTGGCCCACGGGCCGTGTGTTGTGTAGCCCTGGTTTAAAGCAAAGGGTCTGTGAGTTCAGAATCATGGGTACAGTGCCCAGTTTGAGGAGGGAGTTTGTCTACTGGTAAAAGTGGAAGTCTGGGATTCAGAACTCCTGGTCTCTATTTCCAGCTCTGCCATTGGCTCACTCTGTGACTTCCAACAAGTCACTTCTCTTTCTGTGCCTCACTTTTCCCTTCCGTGAAATAGAGACCGTGATACAGACCCACTTCCCAGAGGGAGCTGTCACAGAGCGTGTTCATTCATTAATATTAATGGAGGACACAGAAAGAAAGGGAGGGAGTTGCGATTTCCTCTGAAGCATTGTAGATCTTTAATCAAGGTCTGAACAAAGACATGAACGGGTTAGGCCGCTACATTCAACACCCTAATGACATCAAAAGTTCAGTATCGGGCAATTACAGCCCACTCTATTAACCTTGTTTAGCATTGACACTCTAATTGACAAGATTTTCTCCCCCTTCTTTTTCCCTCCCATTCCCCAACTGCTATTTGTTTGAACCTCTGGACCTCTTGCTCCATTCATCTGAGGAAGTGGGTTGTGCCCACAAGCTCATGATACCATCTGCATTTTTTGTTAGTCTCCAAGGTGGTGCAGGACCATTTATTGTGCTGGGGGAGTTACACAGAGCAATCCCTGGGCATTGAGGGGTGCCTGCCCAGGGAGGCTGGGTGCTGGGGGTGCGGGGAGGTCATTAAGGGAAGCAGAGGTGCTGGACTGGATGAGGTACGAAGTGGGTTGTGCCCACAAGCTCATGATACCATCTGCATTTTTTGTTAGTCTCCAAGGTGGTGCAGGACCATTTATTGTGCTGGGGGAGTTACACAGAGCAATCCCTGGGCATTGAGGGGTGCCTGCCCAGGGAGGCTGGGTGCTGGGGGTGCGGGGAGGTCATTAAGGGAAGCAGAGGTGCTGGACTGGATGAGGTACTAAGA